GAATTGTTAGCATAATATGAGGGGTAGTTTATGTGAGGTGGCGGACGTAATGGCTTCGAGGAACAATTAACATCAGGAAAGGGCTTTATTATTTGGGGTGTCAGACTAGCAATAAGATTGGAAATGTTATCAGCAATGCTATATGCCTGCATTTTGCAGACTGGTGTGTAAGAGGGCTTCACAACTGGGGTGTTTACGTTAAATTGAGAATTCTGGATAGGAACAGGGAAATATCTCCCTAAACTATCATATAGCTTATTTGACCTAGCCGAAAGGTCAGAACTGAGTGGTCAGGTTTGGGAACGTGGTGGATTCGATGTAAGTTTATTAACTAAATCGCTATTCTGAGTGCTGGGAGTCGGTTGTGCTTCAAGTACTGGCTCATCTTTACTGTTAAGATCAAGCTCCTTGTAAATTTTGGAACCGCATTTGAACAATCCTTGCTTCTTGGTGAAGTTTTAAAGAGGCTAGTTTCCATTGACTCTGTGACAATATGATCAATCGAAGAGCTAGACGGAACTGGGGCCGCTGTAGATAGTGGGGAGATTTGGCCGACACCCGATGGGGAAACTGCTTTAGAGGTAAAAGGCATATGAGTAGAATTCCGGGATGGCTATACGCTTGTTAATGGGGGAGAAACTCTTCGTTGCAGCGGAGTTTGATCTCGACTGATAAAAAGTTTATTTCCCCTGAGATTTTGAGCCGAGCTCTCCAAATGGAAGTAAATAAAGTCTACTTCTATCGACGAAAAGAGTTTGACAAGAATTGGTGGATTTTTGCTCCTAGATGGAAGCGTTTTAGCTTCAGCGACCCAAACGTTGGAGCAGCATGAATAAGGGAAGTGAAAAGCGACATCGATTGGCTGTCTACTCTTAGGAACGTTTTTTAAAATAAAGTTGAAACTTCGTTTGCGCTTATCTTCAGTCTCACTAGCAACCAGGTCAATGAGAGGCATGAGCTTCTCACACTGCTGAAACGTAAGCGTTGGCAACTTTCCCTCAAGAAGAGCACCAAGAACAGAAAAAAGTTACCCGTAACGAGAAATAAAATTGTTAAAATTATCGAGCGCCCAGGATCAATTTTTTTCATATGAACAATGGGTTTCAAATGGAGTTTAGTTTCCTTCAGATTTCGACGAAGGGTTGCCTGAGGTTTCATTTCGAAAAAGCAAAACAAGACTCTACTCCAAAAATTTATAGGGATGACAATTGCCGAAACTTCGAGGATATATGGATGAGGCTATTATGATGAAACGATTTCAGAAAGCTGTCAATATTGGTGGACCAGACAACACAATTGATACTAAGCTAATTTTACTCCAAAACTGGAAGTAAATTTAAAAAAAACGGATAAATGATGATCTCGTAGGTGGCAAAACAGAACTGTGAATAAATTTGAATTGGTTAATCGGGCTATGTAGGATAAAAAAGAGAGCAGTATAATTCTCAATTAACCAACGATAAAGGCGTTCAGTGGAGACAGTTTATCGTTTAAAATATAATGCTATTCTATATTTTTACGAGGAAAACCTTTTGTATATGCAGGTAAGACTTGATAGGATTGAGGCTATGTTGGGTGAAAAACTATGACACTAGATTTCTGCTTTATGACAAATCGCCGAAACACGACGGGAAGCAAAGATGACTTATGACAAAAAAAGGAAATTTTGTCAGATCTACACTGGAAAAGGGTGCAAGAGGGTAAGAAATTGAATCCAAAAAAAAATAACTTTCACTAATCTTTTCGAAATCGTGCTGCGCGCGTTGACCTTCGTTCAGGCATAGTGTCCCTGAACGAAACAAGATTACACCCTATTGGAGAACGTACAACGAAGAGCAATCAAGCTGGACGGTGGATTAAGCTGCCCACCTTACGAGAGACGCCTGGAAAAGTTAAAAATACCTCCAAAAATATAACATTCATTAATCTTTTCATTATCGTGCTGCGCGCGTTGACCTTCATTCAGGCATAGTGTCCCTGGACGAAACAAGATTACACCCTATTGGAGAACGTACAACAAAGAGCAATGAAGCTGGTCGGTGCATCAAGTTGCCTGCCTTACGAGGGATGCCTGGAAAAGTTAAAAATATCTCCTCTTTGTTATAGACAGTTCGGAGGGAATATAATCATGGCCTTTGGAATCTTCAGAGGGCTACACTGTGCTCTTCAGTTTGACGATTTCTTCCAGCTGGCGCGAACGACCAATCTTCGAGGCCACCAATACAAATTGATGATAAAATATACCCAACTTGAAGTGCGGACTAAATTCGTCTCCTTTTGGCTGGTTTAAGGATGAAATAAGTTGCCGAGGATTGTTGAGTTGGCGGATAACGTTGAGACCTTCGAAAAAGACTTGATGAATTTATGCTTGATGGTCAAGTATTTACTCGACATCTGTGAATGACATATATGTTATATGAATATGAGCATGCCTTTCATCCGTCTATCCGTAAAAATGGGTTTTCCAAGGCCATGCCTGACCCTCTAATATATTGGGTTAAAGCTTCCAATCTCTCCACTTCCTTTCGTCCTGTATGCAGTCCCGGGCGACATCCTTATACCCAGCTGATAACAGAGTGGTCGAGTGGATTCCCTGCCATTTAAAGACCTCCCTTTAGATCACAATGAACTCGGAAAACTGGACTGGCAACCTCCCTTCGAAACTACTGGACATTCGCCTAGTCCTTAACTCGGATCATGCCTGTGCGGCGGCTCAGCAGGTGCCCGACGCCACTCGCCGACTTTTCTGCGAAACGATCTCCCCTAACCCTCGCGATGCTGATGAAGATCTGACCAATACCTTACACCGCTTGCGGCAGTTCACGCTGACTCTTGCTCCGCTTCTGGTCAGCTAAATGGTCTCCTGACGTAATTTCAAAAAAGACGGCGACGTGCTCCCGCTCTGCTTTCAATGTAATTGAGTCAGTTAACCTTTGAAACTACCCAGCGACGGTTAATTCCGGACTGTCCGTCGAGGAACAAATAGGTTCAGCACCCAGCCAAGAACGCGCGAGGAGGTCTTCAGCCTGGTTCACCCCAAGGCTGATATACCGGACACTCCTCCAGACGAGCTCCGTGGTGTTCTGCTTTTAGGTTTTCCAGTTTTTGTGGCTCTGCTCCGCCGACTACCCATGTTCCTTCTCCTGTGTCAGCTGCATTTAACTGTAAATGTATCACACTCCTGATTCTCCCCCTATGCAACGTCCACTCATGCTTCACATGATGTGAATGCCGTAGGCCCTTTCCCGATTGTATCCGTACTGGTGTTTTCGGAGAGAAATTTTCTTTTGGCTTTGATGGACACCGCCTGGGGTTTAGCCGGAAGGTTACTGCGACTGTGCACTCTTGCTGTTAATAGCGCGACTGCTTACACTTGCCGTCGTCACTTAGTCTGACGTCCTCTGTCAATCAACGATTTAAACACACACGCGACTTGGCAGTGGCGCGTGGAGAACTGGACACCTCTCGATTTTGAACCTTTCGACTATCGACTACAGGCAAAGCACAGGCGCAGGATCGTACTTAGCGCCGGGGTCAGAAAACTCGACGACTGGCAGGCGACTGGTAAGAACACTTACCGCCGTAGTTTTCTGCCTTTGGCATGTTTCCATGTTGCAGAAAAAATTGTCGAGTTTGGTTTGCCCGTCTTATCTTCTGATTCAGGAAGCCTCGCGTTGTCACTTCATCTCCTTTCGACACCAGGCAATACCAATGTGAAAATATACAAATCGTCTCATCGTGGGCTGACTTTGCTGCTATCCCTTGTATGATCGCAAATTCTTGAGTTACACTGTATTGATGACGGAAGGATCCACGAATCAATCTGACATACCAAATTGTTTCACATTTCTGTATTTCTTTCATACGTAGGTAAGTATCATTGACGGCGAAACGCAAATTCATGGGTAAGTTGGCGGTGCACTTGTGTATCTGCCGAGGACGTCAAGGGTAACGCACAACCACGTAGCAAAGTACCGGAAAGAGATCCCAGCTAACGTTGGTCTGAAAACAGTTGTTAGTATGTGACGATACTCATCCGTACATAAAGGAAGAAGGAACGACGAGTGGGCGGGGAGGTATAATGAACAGAAAAGAAAATTGGAAAGGTATATAATAATAGTTAAAAGTACAAGCAGGACGAGTTACAACTGTTGATTAACCCTTCTGGGTGGAGAGGCGATACCAACATGCCAGCTAATAAACTTGTGGGAAACGCAGCGTTGTGGGCAAATGCAGGGAGGGACCGAGGGAGGTGCCGAAGTAGAGAGAAGGAGAACGGTACGAGCGTCACGAAACGATGCGGGAAAGGGGTCGGTGGAAGTAAGAGGAGGGGGCACTGACCATCTTCCCCAACACGCGGTTACGCCATCTCCATCCTAGGTCCACGAGCTGAAAAGTGTCACACCACTCAAACCACCCTGTTCAGATCAAGGGACGTTACACATGCTAACGTGATTGCTCTTCTGAGGCATGTGAGTCCACAGGTGCATACGAGACGGCTCCATATTTTAATCAAACACATCTTGATCCGAGCCAATCGGCATATTATTTGGCCAGTATGACCTACTGTATTTAGTTTGCAGCAAGCTCAGGTCTGAAATGACACCCGAATCCCCAGCCCGACTTCGCTCACAATCTGAATGGAGTTAGGTAGACTAAGATTTCAATCAAATGAACTCTGTAAGCACGGAGCCGCAAACGGCATGGAGGGTAACGTCCTCGTCTAAACCAAGAGGAGTTAAGATGACAGTGTTCAAAGTAATAATACTGAGCGTCATTTTGCAGGTATTATCAAAGTAAAAATACAGAGATGATCGATCAGACAAGGAGAAAGTCCCGTCAGCCTGTCTTAGGAGTAGCTAAAAAACTTTGAAAAACAATTTTTAACACGTACAGTATGAAAATTTGGCAATTTAGTTCGCGAAAAGCCAAAAAAGTGACCCAACGTTTTACTAAGGTAACATTCGGGCAGAAAAGCCAAGACGAGTTCAACGATGTGAATGACTGGGCTCATTGGCTATTTGCCAGCCTGCTCAGTCCGCAATTTTACAATTGCCTCTACCGGGAAAACATTATGTTTCTTCGCACCTGTAACCATTTGCGGGGAGATCTACAAAATCAATTCCTTGAGCGCTTTTAGATAGAACCAAAAATGAAGTCACGAATGCTGTGGATCGGAGCACATATCTCGGATGCCGTCACCTCCCACGAACTCGCCTGCATATGCAGGGTGGATATCCACCCCATCAACCGGAGTAAGCAACCTCCGTGGGCCACGCGCCCCTTTCAATAGTACCTTCACCTAATGGCGCGTTCATTTTTATGCTATCCCATGGCCTAGGTGAGTATTCACTCGTTTGACTGCTTTGATGGGACCCCGACGGGTCTTTAATAAAAATTATCTATCTATCTATCTATATGGTCTTAGTACGTACCGGTGTACGGTACCGTTACGTACAAGCACATAACGTGGAGAAGGTCAACGTGGGATGTGACGATGGGAGCAGTTATGAATGCAGAACACAAATGACATATATTTAAGTGGCAAGGGGAAAATGAGATAACAAGCTGAGGAGAGGACTAATGACGCACAAAAAGGAGAACGCAGTCAGTAGCGAGTTGTGACTAAATATAGGAAATCGGGTAGGTGTGTAGCCGATCTACTAGTTGTGATCTTCACCTCTGGCTGAGTATCGAACTTGGTGGGTAAGCCTGTACGGCCTTTCTGTAGGGTTCGGTTTGTCGAAAACATGTAACATAAGATTTACCGGAATGACAGTATAGTAAGCTGTAGAAGTGTGTCACGGAACCAAAGTGGTTTTGTTTGTTTGTTTTCTTTTTTTCTTATGATCATGCCCCTTGTGATCTTGAACCACGCTATTCTGTTAAGTTATTGTAGACTGTTCTCGCAGAACTATCGTTATTTCAGCTTAGGAAGGATTAATTTCTCTATTCTCACTGAGGCTGTATTTTCGAGACAAAAGACTTCAGGAAGAGTAGTCTATTAGGTTGCCATGCTCTCTTTAGGTCAAGCCGCCTTTTCTAAGCCGCCCATCATGAGCTGGTTACACCAGTATAGGATCGTGACTGTTTCACCTTGAGGAATTTTATCGTGAGACTTTCTTCATAGCAATCGCTAACCTTGAAAAGCACATAGTATTCTGCACGCCTGTCCATACAAGCAGATTGAGAATTTATTACATAACAGGCTTGTGTTTTTACTAAAACACGCATGCACATATGACGAAAAGTTACTTCGGTATAAGGATTCCTATCGAGATGTTTGCGTGGATTTCCCAGTTTGGAATAGTAACCAAATCTCGACGGGCTGCCGCCTTGTCTCAGTTCATTTAAATGACCAGAATGTTTGATTGAATCTTCTAGGGCGCCGAAAAGTGACAGCCTCATGCCTTGGATGTGCCCTCGAGATCTATACTACGGAACGTACAATTGCCTTTACCATACGTCCTAATTGTTCCAGAACGTGCTTAGCCATGGCGTGCAGCACTCAACCAGCATGCTCAGCCAGTGAGAGGACATCAAAGAGAGACCAGGTGGTGTGTCTACATGACTGGTGCAAATGTTGATTCGCGCATCTGGATTGGCAGTTCATCTTCCATTGTACAGACGATCAGTACACTGGCAGTCGTCGACTTACCGCTCCATGCTGCGAGGAATCTCCCCTCGGGGGTGTACCTGACTGATGAAGCACTTTTCACTTTTCCTGGTGCTGTTCCTGTTATTGTTACCGTACCTTTGTCACAGCTTTCCTCTCAAGGCTACTGAATACACATTCAGTTAGTACTATATCATTCCTATCACGGACGATTTCTGGTTCCGTTTGCATTTTAACATGACTATATTGCCAGCTGGATTCTCACATATGACTTACCAGATTGATTATTTTAACCTTGATTTTTTAAATGGACTGCGGCGTTAGCTTGGGAAGCTATCCAAATAACCAACAGTATTCCTCCTGTTAACCATACCCAAGCTTTGTAGACATAGGGAGACGCCAAGCACACACCAGTACTCAGATATGCCTTGCTTCTTCAGAGAAACTATTTTGAAGTTACGGCAGGGAATCCGGAGCGGATGTCGAAAAATCCATCCTAGCGTCTATCTGGGGCCTGTCCCGGTCGAACGTTTCTGTCTCTGTGGATTTACTCAAGTTTTCAAAATACCGTCTGTAATATTTACTGCTACAGAGCCGTTGTGCCTCTCCCTTAACCTTGATGTAGAGCCAAATACCCACAATAATCCAAATAGAGGATCCCACCTCAACTACACGCGTTGTTCGCCTATTGGTGGTCAAGGCAAGGAGTATTAGTATAGCCACCTGGAAAACCTAAATTCGCCTGACCACTGATCGTTGCAGTTACCTATTTTCGATATTTGGAGATATTTGACTACTTGGCACTCCATCGATTGCCATACTTAAAGCCACTTGTTCGCGTTTCTGAACAACCGCCCTCCAATCCAAGGATGCATCTTCGCTCGGGTACGACTTTGACTGCAACATATTGATTACCACTAGGATAGCTGATACAGCAGCAAAACTGGGAAGTAGCAGAGTGCCTTACGGGGTCTGAATTCCGATTCAACTGCGCAATGTTACCTGGTAGAATTGGCTTACCGGTCGTTGATCCATTGTGACTAGATCTAGGAAATAGAAACTGGCGCTGAGCCGATCTTCGATAAACGGGTAAATCACTGTGGTCTAGGCCTCCTTGACATTGCTGCGGCCGTCTTACCCATAATAGTGCCTGCGAAGCACTAAATGATCCTTGATCCTACCGGCATGCGTCGATAAGCACTTACCCACCTCGTTGAATCCTCGGAATGCCGAAACTGTCGTGGGTGACCCATCTTCCTGTCTCGTAGATGTTGCATCTGCTCTCCACTCTGCCCGTCGGAATTTCATGTCGATTTTGTTGCATGATGACGTGTCACTGAATTTTCCTCAGATAATTCGGATCTTCGATGGATCGCCGAAGTCCACGTGAATGTGGTGCTAGTGATTTCTTCGATGTTGCCTCTAGCAGCCGTCAGGGCTGTTCCTCCACTTATAAGCCGTACAACAGACTGCGTTCGTCAACACACGCTAGCAGGTCGCCACTGTGTTACAGTAGATCGCAGTCCGTGCGTTAGAGGTCATGACTGAACCGATGATGTGCATCGCTGGAAGGCCGCGATGCCGCTGATGAGTAGGAAGGCGGCCGCAATGAGTTTGGAGACGGTCACTTAGGGTTAAACATCAGACCTGTCATTCCGGTCTCATTACAGGCACTGTTCACGGGCTTACGCCACTTGCACAGCACACATGTAGCCTCCATCCGGCCTCGCTGCGACGTCTAACATCACGGAAAGTATAGAAGGATTCCATCAGTAATTCCCAGGTGCACGAATATGTAGTATGATAAATGCGCTGGGGAGGTATAAATCCGCTGCAGTTATTCGGTGGATTGTACGTGCACCCCGTTCTTAGAATTCATTCTTGGTCACGCCATTAAAGAACGGTTGTATCGTCTTTCAGGAGTGCAACCCATTAACACCGCTATTATCACAAGTCGATTTAGACGGCTCGGTCGTGTGCCTTGCCTGTCCGAGGGCGGCACCGTCAACGATGTTTATTCGCCGAAATCTGACCTTGGCCAGTGACGGCATCCAGGTAGTCAACCTGACTTCAAGCGCATATCAGGCTCCGTTGTCTTCTGCGTTCTGCAGAATGGTCCAACTTTGCCTAGGAAATTGCCGCTGACCGGCCGACAATCAGCCATGAATCATTACTGCCACTACGCGTGCAGGTGTAAGAACAGTAGCGTCTGCCGTCTCCCTGATGGTAGTCTGTCTGATCGTGACCTTACTGTTGAAGGTGGAGTCCAATCCGTGGATCGGTCTTCGGTCTCTATTTTCTGTATTACTTTTCTTGGGCGGTAACCCCAAGTTTGTACATAAGCCGTGAAATGCTTGCTGTCCCGAAATAACTCGAACCATCCACGGACGAGTACAGACAGCTTTGCTGCTAGTTTTGGATGCTTGTCTAAGGTTTATTATTTTTCTTAGGAGGAATTGACTATACTTCCATCTTTTCATTGCGCTTTATCAAGTCAACCTATCTGAAAGAATCGAGTATATCGAGTTTGCCAAGTATGGTAATTCACATACTTTTAAAACATGACCATCTCTGGGATATTTTCATGAATTATCGGAAACACTTAGTGTATGTGCTTCGCAGTGGTTCCTTGTGAGGGGCCAATCCGTTACTTTTAAAAATACGCGAGTTGCTTAGAGATAAATGTCATCCTGCCTGAGCGGGGTTGTGAACCTACCGAGTGAACATCTCCACAGACTTTTCTGGACGACGCGATTTACTGCTTTAGTCAAGAAGTGTTCGGCCAAGGCGGCTTATCAATCATTTGTCGTAAAAGTCATTCAAGGAAGTTGATGAACCTTGTTACAACTGCCAAAAATGGACATTTGAGTACCGACTGTCTGCTGCGTTTGAGGGACTCTTAGTCGGCCGCGCTTGGAACGACTGTCTATTCTAATTGAGCGAAATCTGAAAGTTAGTATTAAGGATTTTAGTCACCGTATAGTGAAAATAGCTGTTCTGTTTGCTTCTTACCTTATGCTTCTGTTTTTAGGCCTTCGTTACAAGAACTTCTCACTTGGTCTTGACTTAAGCAGTAATGCTCACATCAGCGGACGTGGCAGAACGTTTGAAGGAGGTCGTTGGTGGCGCCTTGTACGATACACACGAGGAAGAAATCAATGAAAGCTTCTGGCAGAAACAACGTGAATCCTACAGTTCAGTACTCGAGGACTTGCCATCATCCATCGCCCCATTTAAGGAACTCCCCTCGCGTCCATCCTATCGCCTACTCATACTTCTTGGTGGCTGTCTTGGTAACAGTTTGTCCACAAGGAAGCTTTGCAACCCTGGCGACCGTTTATACCAGCTGGCGTTGAACACTCTGGACTCTCTCCAACAGTCCATTGGTGCTGCAAATATAGGCGAGCTGTTTAGACAAGATGACACCGCCTCCAGTCGACGTCCTACCTTTGACCAGCTTCTTCAGGAAGTTTCACTGGCCGTTTCGGCCCGCCCCCCAAATGAGACAGATGGCAGCCCATTCACGAAGGCACCCCTTCTGAGAGATGCCCTCATTTGGTTTTCCCTAAACGTCAACTACCCAGTACTTTGCGACAATAAGCAGCTCGGCCTCCTACACCCGTTCGCTCTTCAACTGCTCGAAGACTACCGACCTCCGGTAAAGTCTTGCGGCCTGCAGCTACTGAAGCACCTCTCAACCGAGGTCCTCATATCTTCTTGGCGCAGCAGTGGACGATGCGAGGCAACTCTCAATGTTCTGCTAACGCTACGCTCCTCTTATGCATCAACACAGGTATGTCTTTTCTTTCGGTTCCTTTCTCGCATATGTTCCAGATGCTTTATCGTGGAGTTTATGGGGTGCTCGGCGTGGACTAAACACATGATGCCTGCGCGCCAGAGACAATTATTCCAATTTGACTTATTTCGGACTAGACCGTCGACCACACCACCGTAACTGTCACTTTGACTTACTCTGTTTATATCGTGACCCGCTCAGCCGACTCTAGGTTTCATGCTTATAGCTCAATCAGTGTTTCCGGCAGCAGACTTTCGGACGAAGTTGGTACGCCGGATCGCAGCCGATGCACTTTTCCACCGGTAGGGGGTCTGCGTGAGACCCAACTTGTGTCAGTTTAATGAGCAGGACGTGCGTGGCACGCGTAAGCAGGACCTCGTCCAAGCTCCCATCCCCAGTTTTGCCGTTGAATAAGGATCTGTGTGGGGTCGGTGGGACGTAGGGGTTCTCCATTAGGCCGGCGGGCGCACAGGCGGCGGATGGTGGAGCGACCTTCAGCTGCAAACGAAGCTGGCTTCCTGATCTGACAAATAATCAATGGTTCATCAACAGCGGCGCTGCTGCCAGGGCGCGGAGGACTGTCCGCCGACTGTCTTTTACAACTTCGCAAAGCTCGATGACGGCGTGATGACGTAGCGGCCGTGAACCGCCGCCGCCTTGTGATAAGGTTCTTGAACTAAAGCGCTAGAGCAAATCTCAAAGAGACAGTTCTGGCGGTCGCTGGGAAACTTCCTGTGCTCGAGATTCCCGAGAAACCTCATGTATAAGTGAAGAAGAAGAGGGTTCGAGCACCGGAACACTTTCAGACTCGTGCAGGAGTCCATCGTCAGAGATAGTAGCAGCAACAGAACGAGCGACAGTTATAGAGCATGTAGGCGAATAACCGACCGACGGCGCAAGACTCGTAGTGACTGCACAGGGCTCTGTACGCCGGCGCCAGATCGATTAATCGATTGATTGGGTTCTCGTCCGAGGCCCAGGCTCCAATCAATTCTCGGTCTGTTTTGTTTCCGGCGTGGGCGACTATTTTGGTGGCTGCGAAGTTAGACCCGTGACCCATTTCGTAGGTGTGGGCGGCCACTTGTGATAATGCGTCGTCGTCGCACAGCCAGTTTATGTTCGTGTATGCGCGATCCGAGCATTCGTCCAGTCTGGCCTGTGTAGCTACAGGGACAGTTTTGGCACGGGATGCGACACACCACTCCAGATTGCTCTTCACGCTTTAACCGGTCTTTAATTCTCACGACCCTATTGTGCATGGTGGCTTTGGGACGGTATGCAATTCCAACACTTAACACCGCAGCAATGTGCTCGGTCGCATCTGAAACGCCCTTGATGTATAACAGAGAATGCCATAACGTCGGGGTTGTTGTTTGAGTCCCTTGGGGGCGACCGCGTGGGCAGCCACTTATGAATGCCCTCGGATAGCCATTTTGCACAAACTGGTCGCAGAGATAACGGGCCGCACATGCTCTGTCCTCCGGTTTGCTGCAATGAGTTCGGATCCGTTTGAAGAGGGCCTTCACGGAGTTTCGTTTGCAAGCCACCGGATGGTTGCTGTGAGAACTGAGAAGCTGTGTGGTGTTCTATGCTTTTCTACAAACTGTCGTCTCAAGTTCACCGTTCAAGTTTCGTCTGACAAGCACATCCATAGATGCATGTTTCTGAGCGTGGCTAGATCAAACATGCAATCTGCCGCTGCTTCCCCACCGTAGTCAGTGGAAGTTGTTATCTTGTTTGACGAATGTGTAATCACCTATTTGTTTTTACTTTTTCTTTCAGTGTCTCCGCCGCCACTTAGGGACGACTGTTGAAAAGTATGCGTCTAACGGTAGACCCTGTCTAACCTTATGGTTGGTCGCACAGATTCGACTCATACGCTGTGATCTAACAAGCTCCTAAGGAAATTTCCTTGTCGCATAGAGCTAAGACCTTCAGCTGCTTTAAACCACTACTTTGTTTTGAATGCGTGGCCGCCAGGCACATATCATTACAGGGCGTTTAAGTAGGATTTTCTGAACTCCCTGCCTTAAGTACCGATCAAACAACTCTAGATAGGGCCACTGTAATAACTGCCTTGCTTTTTCTCTCACAATGTAACCCGACTGACCAAATTACTGTGTTCCTGCTGGCAGTATTAACTCCTGATTCAGCGACTCCAAATGCGTCTCAGCTACATCGAAAATCATAGCCTTTTTGTATTATGCTAGCGGTGGATTCCTGGTCGAAACTGAGACAGTCTGCACCTCAGCCCCAAAGAACGAAGGCCATTGGGGGGTCAGAGGTGTGACTGATATCGGCGTCCTTCACGTATTTATTTGTATACCCTGACACCGTTCCATGTCAGGACCGAGTTCGTGCGAAACGACGTTTCGGACGATTTCACTCTCGGGCCGTCTCAGCACACGGTCAAGCCATTTCCGTCGATTCATATGGGGGCTGCGGTTTGTGAGTCACGTTCCCGACAAGCTATTTGGATATTTTATCAGAGAGACGGATTCGGTGGGTTGAACTCAAGCATCTTTAATCAACTCTGCTCAGGTAATGGATGTACTCTGAGTGTGTCATGTCTCGACAGAGACCGGGGTCTTCTTCCGCCTGACCCCGTGTGGACTCCTGCGGAGTCGAATAAGGAGCATGCACGCTTGACTGGGCCAATGGTCGCCGCAATACTTACACTTACACGTCTGGCAGACATTTCAACTCAGGATGACAAAATGTTTCCGAGCGCGGGGAAGGGGCTAATTTGAGTCTAAATTTACATACACTAACAACCTGCATGCCTTATGTATCAAAAAAGTTTCCCTCAAATCCAAACCTTTGCCTTATACGATACGCCAAACTCTCCACACTCCGGTCAACTAATTGCGTAATGGAAGACTTCGCTGAGCACAACGGATGGATTTCCCTATCGCGCGGATTACCTCTACAACATGTCCATCACAACCACATGGTTGGCATGCGGAGATCATGACAACACCGTTGAACTGTGTTTGCACAGAAGGCGACGGTCTTGTACAACCTTCTGAGTTCGGTTATTGTATTTATTTCCGACGGGTTCGGACAGAAAATATGGAACTCTTGAAGTGTGCAGGCCCTTCTGTCCTCAACGATCATGCCACTTATAAATTACTTGCGCCGCTAGTTTCTCAAAAGGACTCGAGGGTGATACCGTGTACCAGCCATCTGGGATCTAGCGAGCATAGTCGGCTCACAGTCGTAGGCAAGTAACCTCCAACACCACCCAAATCGAAGAAGGGGCAGGAACCAGCCACTGTAGGGCGGTAAATCTGCGTTAGACGTTGTCCAGTCTCTACACCCAATTCCGAAGAAAAAATGCACACCTTATCTCACCCCTTTTCGTGTTTTAGACTCTTCTCGCGGAGGCATTTGGTTGCATCTTCGCCTTTCTTCGGCTCTTGGAGCCCACAGAGAAGAGAATTTGGCTCAACAAACTAGCCGAAGTACTATTCTCTGACCTAGTCTTAGAGGCCAAGCTGGAGAACCGTGTAGTGCTAACTGGATACGCCACAACTCTCACTGATTTGCTCGGAAGGGAGATAATGGTGCACTCAAGACGCCTTCTGAAGTCCGCTGAACTCACTCTGCTCGCCCCGCGTTCCTCGAACTCGGTATGTTGATTGGGCAATTTTAAATCGACTCTGCTGAGGCAACACCCCGTTATCATCCACTTTGTCTTTTAGGCAAACCTCCGAGAGCGCGAACATCTCTCCTTCTCGCAGATGTTGGCATGCCTGCTCAAGTTTGTCCAACTCTCTTCCGACCTCTTGTTTCCGGACCTGCTCCCCATGGTCCTTCCCGTGCTGACGTCATTCGTCGACCTCGAGTGGAGTAGGCGGGGCAATGAGGACGTGGCAGGTGGCCTCAGCACCCTGTCTTCCCAGCTAACCTCTATCTTGAGCCTCCTACTCAAGCAGAACCCACCCGAGGTCTCGAAAGTTCTGAACCGATGTGTGGAATTAAGCCCGAACCTCCAGCCGATGGTTGTAGCCTGCGGCGACTTGTACATACCTGCCTGCAAGTAGCTGGACTTGATTTCTTCAAACCAGGAGTGGGAATAGTTACCGTCAAGAGGGCTTGTTGTTGGCTTTCCAAACCCAAAGTTTATGACTACCACAAGGGGTTCCTGACTACTAGGTTAAACTGGGCATTTATGCCCTGCTTACTGTCATCAGCCAGCCAGTTAACCATTTGGCTCAGAGCTCCACCGGCCCGAGCCCTCTTTGCTGTGGTGGGGAGTACTCCAATTCATGTGAGCTGGCCCCGATGTGTAGGACGGTCCAAGTGGCCATCGAGCTTAGCGCTCCACCAGTCAGGGCACAGATACAAGCCCTCCCGGCTGCTGTCGGAAGTATTCAAAGTCATGGGGGGCAGCCTTCATTTAGCTGGCCCAGCTGTAGGACGGAATACGAGCTTTCCACATCTGCTTCGAACCCTGACAGCCGATTACCAGTAATAAATCATTCATAGTCATTACAGCAAAGGACAACAGGCCTAGTAAGCGTACGCACACCGACGCTAATTAGAATCGGATCGACCACGGCCTCTGCCTCAACTAGCCCCCCCCCCCCC